CACCGAGGGGCTAAACCTACCAAGTCTGTTTGTTCCAATAGTGAGAATAAAGATAGGGCAGGGGAGTTATTTGCTACCTTTTATTGCTGGCTGTTTAACAGGCAAGAGCGAGCCAGAGCGTGGGGTTGAGGGGAAGCTAACAAGTGGAACGGGAGGAAGCAATAAATAAACAGGAACTCGGCTCTGTGTCCTCTCTTCTATGAGGCATTTTGAAGGGATAAACATTTCTCTCTCTCTCTCTCTCTCTCTCTCTCTCTCTCTCTCTCTCACACACACACACACACACACACACACACACACACACACACACACACACACACACACACACACACACACACACACACACACACACACACACACACACACACGGTGAAGTTGTTTGTTGCCTTCCATCTCACCTTATCTCTGAGGCCTAGAACAAACTCCTCTGTGTGTGTGTGTGTGTGTGTGTGTGTGTATGTGTGTGTGTGTGTGTGTGTGTGTGTGTGCGCGCGTGTGTGTGTGCGTGTGCGTGCGTGTGCGTGTGTGCGCGTGCGCGCAAGGAAGGAGGTCAGTTGTGGCACATGGAGCCTCTTCTCTCCTGCTGGGGACAAAGGCCAGTCCTGGCTGCCTGACCTTTCTTCTGCATGTGGGCAGGTTCTCCTTCAGCCTAGCTCTGTGCTGCTCTTTGCTCCCTCCTCAAGGCCGATTCCAAGTGACCTAAGGAGCTAGAGGGCCAGACTTTCCTCCTTGCCTATGGGATCTGCCCGACTCCAAGGTCACACAGAGGGGGGCCTTGACTGTTTATTGTAGTTTGGGTCTATGCCCTGTTCCTCCCATGCTGGTATTGAAGCTGTGCTATTCCAGGATTTTACATAGTCTGTGTTAGCCTTGCAGCTCCTATGTGTGGGGCTGGACCTGAAGGGGCTGCTAACAGCTGGTGCTGAAAGTGGAAGAGGCTGCCTCCCAAAATAGTCTATGGTGGTATCCTAGGTTTGATAGCACGTGTTAATGCCTGTGTAGGATTTCATTCATAAATGATGCGGTTGATGACTCATGGACTTCCCCACCAAGCCTGTGAGGCTGAGGACAAGATGAGGAAGGAAAACTAGAACATCAGCCAGCTTCTTCATTGGACATTGGCTCTGGCAGCAACTCTCTGCCCATCCATGGTAGCACCACTCCTAATATACCAAAAGCATTCAACCCATAAGCAAGAATTCAGGGATGAAGTTGGGGGGTAATGGGGCTTTCAGCAGAGGCACCTGCAACAGCATTTCTAAGTCATTCCAGCCCTGAAGCAGGGATGAGCAGAGGCTAGATCAGGATCTGTAGGTAGATCGATACTGAGGTGATAGGAAGTAGATGAAGAAGGCTTTTTGAATCCTAGTAACAATACCAACAAGTAAAATTGAAAGTGACCTTGTGTTAGTGGCTGACCTTGTGCTATTTTTTTTAATCTCTTAGCCTCAGGTGCTGCTCATCTATAAAGCTGGAATATTAATTGGCTGATTTTGGCCAACCTTTTTGTGCAGCTCTCTTGGCCACATTCAGAGTTTTATGCTGGAATCTCTGATATTAGAGCCAGAGCCTTTACAGGTTGCCTTTTAAAACTGCAAGAACCAGAATTTTTCAACCAGCACGGCCCTTACCTCAGATGTAGAACTGTTTTTGTGCATATGGCACAATTAACAGTTAACAGTGGGTTGTTGTTTTTTTTAAATCATTATGTTTGGAGATATGGGGGTTGGAACAGGGATGTTAAAAGGACTGATCAGGCTGCGGCCACACAAGCCAAATGTTACCTTCCTATCCCCCACTGAGTTTGTATCATAAATTTGCAGTCACATGACGCATGGCCATTAGCAAATCATTTACTCGGTGAGCATGCTAACTGCAAAACATTTCTCACTTGGCCAGAGGCTTCTACTTTTTTTGTTGTGGATCTTTTAAAAAACATGTTGAGTTGCTGTGTATGTGTGTGTGAACCATCTTATCACAACATTTTTGAACTACTCTTACCATGCGTATCCTTTTAAAATATTTTATATTTTTAAAAAATTTTCTGCACATTTCTGTCAATGCCTTGGTTAACGTCTGTCAGACAGTGTCAACAAGAAGCTCTAGGCACTTGTTGATTGGAAGGAAATGACTTGGTAACCCCAAAACACATTGGGACGCACGCCCTGGAACAAATACCATGTGACCACAAAATATGACAGGAATGTGATTAAAAATCATGTATCCACAGGGGGACATTTCGCTGGTGTGACCGCAGCCTCAGTTTCTGCTGATTCTAATACAAACAGACCTCGTCCCAGGCTAATGGGTGGACTGGAACCAGAAGTGAAGAAACATAACCATTTTGACTGGAGTTCCAAAGGATACTCTCAGCTTCGTTTTATTGTTACAGTCACAATGCTGCTTTGAATTCAATGCATTCACAATGTGAAACTGCCCATGTGCTGAGTATTTCTAGGTGGCAAATATTTTGTTTGTTTGTTTTGCTTACTCTGTCCTATCGGGGATGTTAAAAAGCTGGTAAAGCATAGGATTTTTATTTTATATGATTTTATTTTTATGCCTCCTTTCTCCCCATAGGGGACACAGGATGACTCACAGCAATTAAATCTGTGAAGTGATAACAGATTTAAAATACCGTGCAGAATTACCTCTATCTCCTACTCAAATTTGACTCAAGCTCATCTCTCATGGATTATATTCTGATCATATAATGCAGAAGCCACATCTCTTTAGATTTGTTGTTATAATAATTGGGGGGGGGGAGAGAGGAGCACCTACGCATGAAATTATGAAACATAACGATTAACAGTTCCCCCCATGGGGCTTCCAAGGATTATAATCCACTTCTTCAGATGCTCTGTGGACCCTAGTTGGACCCCAAAGGTATATATAAACTGAACACATGGTTGTGGATGGTGGTTTGGGAAGCTATATGCTCAAGTAGCTGAACTAATACATACGGTTGTCACACATGGGGTTGGATCAGGCCATTAAGCACAAAGTCTAAGATTAACCAGCTGTGCTAAAGGTAGTTTTATTCTGAATAGACATTCCAGATGTTTCACCACATCTCTTTAAAAGCTTACTGATGCCAGGGTATTCTGTTATATCCAACAAAACCTTTTAAATTGCCACTGTAATTATTTTGCTGTTATAAAATTATCAGTAGTCTTTTCAGCTCTTTGATTTCTCCTGACTTCCTTCCCCTCCATCACAGTCCCCAAATGTGTGTTTGTGTATGCCTGCCTATACAGGATAAATATATCATGTATCTGATTCAGTTATGGTTGGTTCTTTGAAAGCATATGGCATTATACATTTCCTAATACTGTATTGAAAATGGCACACACCTCTCTGTTGTTTTCGCTGCAATATTGCTACCACAGTTCTTCCTCCGCAAATCCGGAAGTATGTATATGCATGTAACAATGCATATTCAAGTGCAAATTTTCATGTGTCTAAGGAGTGGAAAATTCTGGGTAAGAATGTGAGGGACTCCAAATAGTTTTGATTTTCTGGTATCTTAGAACATCAGATTATGTGAACTTTCTTGTGTCTGCCTCCAGTATTTTTTGTGGCTTGTGAGATAACATTCTGGATAGATCTCTTGCCTAGATGTGGGGTTCTTCCAATAATATCCATTGTAAGCCACCAGAGGGCATGGCTCAGAATGGAGAGAAATGGTAGATAAAATATGGAGTTTGGAAAGGTTCTTTTCTTTTCTTTTTTTGGACTATAACTCAAAGAATTCCCTGCCAGCACGGCTGCTAGCTAGGTTGACTTGTGTTTGTCTGTTTATGCAGGTTGTAGTCCAGAAAATGACCTTTTTCAAGGCCAGTAAACATTAAGCTGACACATCCCATAGTAACTGCAGCGAGAGATTAGCCACATGATGGGTAGTTGATGCCTGAGATGAGATGTTGGGTCAAGCATTTGAAATAGATAAGACCGCTACCAACTTGGTGAGATGAAGCCGGTCATGAATGAAGGGAACTTCTAATGTAGAAGAGGAAAACATTTGGCATATTGGAGTCTATTAAACCAGGGAAATGTCACTGTAGGTTGGAGTTATTTCTAGATTACCCTACAAAATTTCTCCTCATGAGCAGCTAACCTAAACATACAACTAAAAGAGAAGAAGGGGTGTTGACATGATAGAATGGAAGGAAACCCTTGAAAGCACTATGGATAGGGAATCCTCTTTTTAAATTGTTCCATGATGTAAAAAAAGGGGGTCCTTGAAAGGAGACGATTAACAGGAAGATCAGGGTGGGCTATGCCCTTTATTTCTTGTTATGTCAGTTTGTTACTTGTGGGAATGTTCTGGTTTTTCCTTTATGTATAAGGAACAGTCATAAAGAGCAGGATCCCAAGCAGTTTGAAGTGGTACTGTCCATTTTGCCATCTGCCGCGTAATTTAGAGGCATGTGGTTTACCAGAATGTGACTTTTTGTTGCTCAGATGGTAACATCTGTGTTTAAGTGGATGAGGTGACTGCCTCAGATGACCAGTGTTGACTGGTTGGTGGCGAAGGTCAGTGATGTGTTGAAAGACAGAACAATATGACTCTCTCTCTCTCTCTCTGTATGTGTGTATGCGTGCGTGCATGCGTGCTATGCAGCCTGCCCTACACTCTGTGAGCTTATTATTTATTTATTTATTTATTCTATTTATACCCCACCTATCTGGTCATTGCGCTGCATGCTTGTTCCTCAGGTGCCACAGGGAGAGGAGCACTACTCAATTGTCACTTTGACTGGTGGCCTCATTGTAGGAAAGGAAGGAGGTACCTCAGGCAAGCTCACGTATTGGATCACCTCTAGATGGTGACTGCTTTGAGCCTGGAATGGTTGTGGTCTCACAGCTTCAAAAAAGTTACTCTACTGGACTACAGCCTCCTAGACCAACACCAACACTACCAACACCACCCAGCTACACGATGGCCATATGGATATGCAGTGCTAATCTCTTCCTGTTCTTTCCCATCTTCTCTCCAGCGCTGCAAGGATCGCCTCAACTCTCTGGCCATCTCGGTCATGAACCAGTGGCCTGGGGTCAAGCTGCGGGTGACAGAGGGCTGGGATGAAGATGGGCACCACTCGGAGGAGTCGCTGCACTACGAAGGCCGTGCTGTCGACATCACCACCTCTGACCGGGATCGGAACAAATATGGGATGCTGGCACGCTTGGCTGTGGAGGCCGGCTTTGACTGGGTCTACTATGAATCGAAGGCTCACATCCACTGCTCTGTTAAATCTGGTAAGGATCAGCTTTAAGCTGGGGCTGAGGGAGATCAGCAGGGATGGGGGGGGAGTGGGGAGGGAGGCTGTGAGTCAGGAATCAGGAAGACTGGCACAACTGAAGAAATTAAAAGGCTCAGGAGGATGGAAGATGTAGCGGCTTTATCGCAAAATAGAAGGTCCTGATTCCTTAGTATGCTGCTTGTCATGATTCCTTAGTATGCTTGTTGGCACCATTTTGGGCCAAATGATCCCAGTGTCGTGTTCCACTCTTGCTGTATGTGATTTCAAGATGCTTTCCTCATAGGTGATGTCTGGAGGCTATTGGTGCAATCTTTTCTGCAGTGATCTGCTCAGTATTCAAACGGGGGGGGGGCGGGGGAAACAACCTCCCTGTTTATTACTGACCAAGAACACTGAGTTGCTTCCAACACTGCCATTATTACATGCTTGAAAGCACTTTTGATTTAGCTTAAATTAGACTAAAGATATTAGCCATTCTCCATCCTCATCCCTTAACTTTTCCCCCAGAGTAGCATAGCAGCTGGTCCAGGGAGCCAAAACAAAAATAAAAACAAACAAAACAACAACAACAACAACTTCTGAATTCTTCACAGAAGAATTCAGCAAAAATCTCCCCTTTCCATTTGCAAAAGGGCAGTATTGACTGTAAGAATGTGAAGATTCAGCTTGGGCCTGGCCTTCCACTCAGTGTTTCACATAGCTGGCCAAGATTCAGGCTTACAAATCCTCCTTTGCCAGCACCTCCTCTGGATGCATTTCTCCAGAAATGTGGGTTCTGTCCAGTGGAAGGTACCACTGAGCTTGGCCTATCCCTAGAAGTAGGGAGCAAAGCAAGGGCTTGAGTGGTCTGTTGGGATTAAGTACTGAGGGGGCTCCCCATTTGGCTGGAGTACCACGCTTTGACTGTGGCCTCTTGTTCCTGTCCTTTGACCATTAGCATGACCTGCTGGTATCCTGGCCCTTTCAAGACCCACCGGGTCTCTGGCTGATGGGAAGGAGGTGCCTTGGCCTAATCTTGACTTTATACTGCCTGGCCTAGCAGCTGAATCTCCACCTCTGACAACAGCACACCAGGAGTGACCAGCGCTGGAAAAAGGGATTGCCCCAGCCAGAGTGGAACCCACTCCCCTTACCCCTCTGGCACTAATCTGGACTATGCTGCCTTAAACTCGTCCGGACAGCAATGTGCCTGCCAAGAAACATTGTCAAACAGCTTCTGTCCACTTGGACTTTAGATATCCAAAGCCTTCATATCTGCTAAGCTGAAAGTTAGGATTGTGTGTGGCAGATACACACATCATTCAATGCTTGCCCTGAGTACTGTGGTCTGATCCAGCCAATATCGGACTTGCCCAGTGATCTCTCCAGACTGTATTTGGCCCACTTCCTCTGGGCTTTGCTTGAAAGTGGATTCGGTTGGTCTCACTGACATTACAACACAGACACAGACACAGACACAGACACAGACACAGACACAGACACAGACACAGACACGCACACGCACACGCACACGCACACGTCTCACTGACATTACAACACACACACACGTCCACTCATTCTCAGTGCCTGAACATTGTGCCTGCTTCTGGACATTCACACTTCTAATAGGAAGATGTCACATTACCAAGTGTGCCCAAAGACTGGAGCATCACCTTGGCAGTCAAGAATTGGAAGAGAAGTACAATCCTACAGGGTGCAAGTGCTTGCCTACGTACCTAAGGGGGTTGACAACGGCTTTGATAGATGTTGGGGAGAAAGACTGAACAAAATCCAGCATCCAGGAGGGGACAGGTTTTGATGGGTTTGAGAACTGGCGCTTGGGTACAGCCTAATTTGAAAACAGGTACTGTACTTGTGAGATGGGACAATGTATAGATTCTATGCTATAGGGCAGTGGCTCCCGCCCTTGGGTAACCCAGGTGTTCTTTGACTGTAACTCCCAGAAACCCTGGCCAGCTCAGCTCGTGGTGAAGGCTTCTGGGAGTTGCAGTCCAGGAACACCTAGGTCATCCAAGGTTGGGAGCCATTGCTGTAGGGGTCTGCATTCAACACAGAACAGCATACCTTGATATGTGTTGGAGGGGGGACAGTGGCAGGAGTGAAATGAAAGATCACACTCAGAGGATCATGTTTGTGTGCTGGAAATGGTGGGTATCCTGGGCAGCTGGCCTGCCTTAAGAACCTTTTAATAAATGTCCTCTATTTTAGTACTGGTTGTGTACACTCGTCTGTCCATCCCACCATTTCTTTGACTTTAGGCTTCGGTAAATAACATATTCATCCTTCTTCATAACCACCCCATATTAAATGGCTTGTGCTGCATTTTTAAATCATTTGCTCTTCCCTAAAGAATTGGGTTAGACCGAGGGGTAGAGCACCTCAAAACTAAATCTTCCAGTTTAACCACCACAGCATTCTCTTCAGACTCTCCATTAGGTCGACACCAACCTGCACATGGGTCCTGTACCAAAAAGATTTTTCTGGACACTCTCATAGTATGAGGTTTAAATAGATCTATTTCAAACAAGAGTAACTTGCGCAATGCTTGAAAGTGTACACATCCGTTTGATTTCTTTTCCATGGGCTATTGTGCATCCACAACATCCAGAGATTATGTCACTATCATGTACTTTTTTTATCATTTGGTTGAAAATAGCTAGAGGATGCCAGCTTTGCATGCTAGCAATCAAAAGGCAGCATGCGATCATTCCATCTTCACCTTCTGAACTGATTTTCAGTGGTAAGGAAAAAAGATGGAAGAAATGCTGGGGAATCACAGGAGGGGTGGAAGTGGAAGACAACATTTCTGGTTCCCCCATAAAATTCTGTGTTTGAGATTAGGCGGATGCTCAATGAAAGCCTTGTCTGGATGTACCCCCAGACTCTGTGGAAGTATGTACTGGAAAGGAATTTCTGCATTATATGTCTATGCAGAATTTGGAAATAAGTTGTCAACAATTAATTTTTTCTAGTTTGAATACTAAGTTGAAATTAACAATCAACAGTACATTTCAGTTCCTTCCGAGCGGTCCCTCCACATCTTGATACCACGTTGCTTTGTTACCTAATTCTTTGTGCTTCCATGTGAGTTATCCTCCCTCTAGTAACTAGGCTGGTTTCTCTCTGTCTCTCTCTTTCTTTCTCTTTCTCTTTTTGTCTAGAGCATTCAGCAGCAGCAAAGACAGGAGGCTGTTTTCCAGCTCGGGCGCTAGCAACGCTGGAAAGCGGGACCAAGATTCCAGTGTGGGCACTGATGCCTGGGCAGAGGGTTCAAGCCATGGACGAGCAGGGCCGCCCCATATACAGTGAATTCCTGACATTTCTGGACAAAGCGGCATCAGCACCCACGGCCTTCCATGTCATTGAGACACGGGACCCACCCCGCCGCCTTGCCCTCACTGCAGCGCACCTCCTTTTTGTGGGGGAGAATGCCACAGCACCCACCAAAGCTATTTTTGCCAGCCTTGTGCAGCCAGGTCAATACGTGTTGGTGACAGAGGGGGGCGAGCTACGGCCAGCCAAAGTAGCGGCTGTCTCTGTGCAGACGGACGTCGGGGCCTACGCTCCTCTTACCAGCCATGGGACTCTGGTGGTGGACGATGTAGTGGCATCTTGTTTCGCTGTGGTGCAAGAGCAGCGCCTGGCTCAGCTGGCTTTCTGGCCCCTCCGAATGTATTACAGGCTGGTGGGGGGTGAGCGGACTCAGTCGGAGGGTGTACATTGGTACTCTATGCTGCTATATCACCTGGGCCGAATGCTCCTCGCTTCAGATAGCTTCCACCCGTTGGCCACAGTGCAGTTTGAGAGCTGAGCTGATGTCACTCAACGGCCCCAGAAGAGGAGAAACAGATCACCTCCTGTGTTCCTAGGGAGGGACTGTATGGGGTAGCCAGAATCCTGAATGTGAGGAAACGGCAGGGGCACGGGCTCCTTATAACTTTCCTCAAGCTTGAGGGCTGAAGGGAGGTTTTGACTCCTCCTTTGCCTCTGAGGAGTCTTTCTTATTTTTTTGGCTACAGAAGAAGATGCCTAACAACAGGGCCACATGCTGCTATTTTGGTTCAAGGACCTCTGATGCAGAGTGAGGCAGGGAATGAATGGGGGTGTGGGTGGTCCTGAAACCTGGGCTGGATGAAGGAGGAACTGGAAACCCTGCTTTGCAATAGACAGGATATGGGAGGAGGGCATGCAGGCATCTGCAAGGGAGTCTTATGAGGGAGGATTCGCATGAGGCCTAGATGGGACTTCTTCCCTACATCAGTCCAGAGAAGCTTCTCCTGCTAGTGGCCGGGCTGCCTCAGGGTGGCCCAGTGAGACACCCGAAGTGTGACTGTTCTTCTACTCAGTGGGACTTTTCCACTGTTGTAATTATGAGAGGGGAATCCTTCTTTCTAGCTGCCAATCAACTGGGCTTTGAGCACAGAAGGAGAGTGGGGAATGCACCAGTCAGCCCAGAAAAGGGGGAGAGCCATGAATGGGGAGGGATCGGGCAATAGACAGGGAGGGTTCTTTGCAAAATCATACAGTCTTCTCTGGATTAGCTGGACTTGCCCTGGAGCAATTATGTCCATGCATTCATTAATGCCAATTAAAATTATCACTCCAGCTATCAGTATGCAGTAAAAGGACGATGCAGAGGAGAGAGAAATAGTCTTTCCCCTTACTTGAATTAACCAACACTGACTGTCTTGATCAAAGAGTGGATAATTAGTTTAAGAAAGAGCTTGGAAAGTTTGCTCTTTTGGACTCTTAACTCTCAAAAACTGCAGTCAGTGTAGCCAATCCCCAGTGGCTGTGCTGGTTTGGAAATGGGAGTTGTAGTCCAAGCTCTGGTTTAAGAATTTATCTACATTAAGTGATCTTTGGGGGGGAGGTGAGAAATGCCTGGAGACATATGGAGCAGGACTGGGATGTCCCTGTTTGTGAAGGGAGAACTGGGGTGGGAGAGAGAGGAGGCAGCGGCGGCAGGGAGATTAAAGGGTCCTGTTGCTTTCCCCTTAGCTTCCCTTTGTTTCATGAAGGCACCAGAGTCATGTGTACTCAGGTACTGTATCTTGTGGGCCATGGCAGCTTCCCCCATGTGAGGTGTGAACCCCTCTCTTGATCCATGAGCCATACTGAGGTGGATGTTGTGCCGCACTCTTTATCTTCCCACAGCACCCAAACACCCACCTGGTCTCACCTCTTAAAGGCCTGCCGTGTCCAGAACAGGTTCTCATGGTGGCAGGGATAGATATTCTCTTCAGCAAAAGGTTTCTCAGGATGGGAGGAGACATGTCAAGACCATACTGAGAGGAATTAATGGAGAGGAGGAAGGGATGCATAACACCTTGGACCCATTTCCAACGAAGAAGAAGCACACCGACGGCTTTATTTTCATCTGGCTAAATTGGGGGATAGAGTGGGAGGGATTGCCTGAGAAGGCATTTGGGAAGGAGAAGCAGGGAGTGAGGCGGAGGTCCTGACCCCCACCCCAGGCCTGACAGCATTTCCCTACCACCCCCATTCATGTTACATTGTAAACATGGGGGGTGGGTGGGAAGATGCATTTACTAATGGGACAATTAGGAAGTATCCCTCCGAGAACCAATTCATATAATTAAAAAATATTGCTGTGTGTGCTCACTGGGAAATGGTCCTTGTGCAGAAGACAATGGCTTTGCCCTTATTCCATAAAAGGTCCTTCATGTGATGGCCTGTGATGAACAAGGATCATTTCTAAGAGATCAGCCAGTAATAATGTCTTTTAAACCAGTAAAGAGTTTGCTGTTCTGTTTCTCTCTTAGATGGCTAGAAGCACCAAAAGCAACAAATGTTTCTGTGGGCAGATCGGTGATTACTTCTTTTTTAGTGGGCTAGTAACTTCTGAGGTTTTTTTCCTACATGCAGCTAATATCCAGGACAGAAGCAGCCTGAGGTACCCATTTCTAGCCTCTCCATTTCAGGATATCACGTCTGAATGGCAGAGCATTTTGCCCAGGCTGTACCAGGACATGTCCTTCCTCTTCCCGCTCCTAATTGGGTACCAGCTTGTCTCCCTAGTTTAGCTGTCTGGACAGCTCATCATTGGGAACTGGGACTGTGCATATACCTTGCGTGTAGCATCAAGGCCTCCTCTGCTGTTGCAATATTTAACTTGGAGAAGTGGAGGGGTGTGTGTGTTGGGAAGTAGCTCCCTCCCCATCATATGGCATTTATTTATTTACCTGCATTCAGCAGGACACTCATAAACATTTCATAGGTGAGTCGACTTTTGTGAAACAAGTCCAAATGGACACAGGGCAGGGCATTTTTTTGGTAATAATAAAAATATTTAAAAACTATTTCAGAGAAGCACAGTTTCAATGGGACCATGGAGGGCATAAGAAGGAATCAACAATTATTTGTCTCTTCACTGGATGTAAATTTCCCAAACAGGTGAAAAAACCAATAAATCTCTTTGACCTACTCTGGGTGTCTGTGAGTGTCTTTGTGGTTTCATTTTTTTAATTAAAAAGATCATCCTGACCCCAGCAAGATAACATTGTCTCTGGCTCCCAGGGCAACATGCCCAGCATGAAATATATGGCAGAACTATCCTGGGGTGTTGGGGTACACTGGGATTACTGAGGATATCCCTTTAAACAGCAGATCTTCATAATTATATGATGCTGGCAAGAGCTTAGAAAGAGCTTAGAAACATTATATTTTTGACTAATCTCACAGGCACCTTTGGCCATCATCCTGGCTAGAGTGGTAGGCCAAAAATGTAATGCTTCCAAGCTTTGGTGCTGGCACTTGTATGTCATTTGCTGCTTCCAAGATCCATGGATATTTTATAGGAAAGGTATAAAGGTGTATTGGGCTGTTTGAGAGATAATCTTCCCTTGAACCCTCTGTGGCCCTCCATATGATATCACTGATCCGCACACATGCTACTTTCTCTCTGGGAAAAGCCTCCACGCTGCACTTATCATATACACCTTATTGGAAGCCGCCCAGAGTGGTCGACCAGACCAGATGGCTGGGATATAAATA